AAATAGCGGCGGGGACGGAGCGGGATGGACGGGATGGACGGGACGGGCACCCAGGCTCTGCCCTCCTGCCCCCTCCTGCAGCAGCGCTGCCCCAGCAGCCCCGCAGCACCGTGAAACACCATCCCCTGCCGTCCCATCATATGATATCCCATCCCATGACATCCCCTGGCATGCCCTGAATCCCCTGGCATCCCGTCCTCTGGCACCCTATCCCCTGGCATCCCGTCCCCTGGCACCCTATCCCATGGCATCCCATCCCCTGGCACCCTATCCCATGGCATCCCATCCTCTGGCACCCTAACCCATGGCATCCCGTCCTCTGGCACCCTATCCCCTGGCATCCCATCCCCTGGCATCCTGTCCTCTGGCATCCCATCCTCTGGCACCCTAACCCCTGGCATCCCGTCCCCTGGCACCCTATCCCCTGGCATCCCATCCCCTGGCATCCCGTCCTCTGGCATCCCATCCCCTGGCACCCTATCCCATGGCATCCCATCCCCTGGCACCCTATCCCATGGCATCCCATCCTCTGGCACCCTAACCCCTGGCATCACGTCCCCTGGCTCCTCTGGCTCCAAGTTCCCTGCCCCGGTGACTCATCCCCTGGCATCCGATTCCATTCTGGCACCCGTCCCCTGACACCCTACCCCATGACATCCCATCCCCTGGCAACCCCTTCCTTGGCATCCTCTTTCCCTGCTTTGGTGACCCATCTGGAGCATCTCACTCCACCCTGGCACCCCATCCTCCGGTATCTCCCAACGCCCTGGTACTCCGTTCCCTGCTCCCCAACACCCCCAATCTCCTGCCCTGGCACCTCGTCCCATGGCAAGCCCTGGCATCCCATCCCCTGGCTCCCCTCATCCCAATTCCCTGCCCTGGCACCTCCAAACCCTGTTCCAGCAGCCCCTGCCCCCATACTTGTGGGGTCTGGTGTCCCTCCTGTGCCAGGGGACAGGCAGGGCACACACACCAGCGTGGGAAGACCCTACAACAACAAAGCAGTGTGGGGGAGACCCTACAATAACAAACCATCATGGGAGAGACCCCACAGTACCAGACTGAGGTGGTCCTCAATACACACAGTCCCTGTAATGCCAGAGACCCTACAACAACAGTAGCGACCCTATAATAACAATAACACAGCCCCTGTAGTGCCTGAGACCCTACAATAACAGTAGTGACCCCATAATAACACACAGTTCCTGTGTGCCTGAGACCCTACAATAACAGCAGTGACCCCATAATAACACACAGTTCCTGTAGTGCCTGAGACCCTACAATAACAGCAGTGACCCCATAATAACACACAGTTCCTGTAGTGCCTGAGACCCTACAATAACAGTAGTGACCCCATAATAACACACAGCTCCTGTAGTGCCTGAGACCCTACAATAACAGTAGTGACCCCATAATAACACACAGTTCCTGTAGTGCCTGAGACCCTACAATAACAGTAGTGACCCCATAATAACACACAGTTCCTGTAGTGCCTGAGACCCTACAATAACAGTAGTGACCCCATAATAACACACAGTTCCTGTAGTGCCTGAGACCCTACAATAACAGTAGTGACCCCATAATAACACACAGCTCCTGTAGTGCCTGAGACCCTACAATAACAGTAGTGACCCCATAATAACACACAGTTCCTGTAGTGCCTGAGACCCTACAATAGCAATAGTGACCTTACAATAATACGCAGTCCCTGTGTGCCTTAAACCCTACAATAACAGCAGTGACCCTACAATAATACACAGCCCCTACAGTGCCTGAGACTCTACAATAACAAACAGCCTTGTAGCACCAGAGACCCTACAATAACAATAGTGACCCTACAGTAATACAGCCCCGATAGTGCCTAAGACTCTGCAATAACAAACAGCCCTATAGTGCCAGTGACCCTACAACACCAGCAACCTACAATAACACATAACCCCTGTAATGCTTGAGACCCTACAATAACAGTAGCGACCCTACAGTAACACACGGCCCCCATAGTGCCAGAGACCCTACAATAATACACAAACCTTACAGTGCCTGAGATCCTACAGTGACAGTAGCAACCCTACAACAACACACCGCTCCTATAGTGCCTGAGATCCTACAACAACACACAATCCATAGCGTGCCTGAGACCCTACATTAACAGTAGCGACCCTACAACAACACACAATCCCTATAGTGCCTAAGACCCTACATTAACAGTAGCGACCCTACAATAATACATAATCCCTATAGTGCCCCAGATCCTACAATAACAGTAGCGACCCTACAACAACACACAGCGCCTACAGAGCCTGAGACCCTACAATAACAGTAGTGACCCTACAACAACACACAGTGCCTATAGAGCCTGAGACCCTACAATAACAGCAGCGACCCTACAACACCACACAGCGCCTATAGAGCCTGAAACCCTACAATAACAGTAGCGACCCTACAATAACACACAGCGCCTATAGAGCCTGAAACCCTACAATAACAATAGCAACCCTACAATAACACACAGCGCCTACAGAGCCTGAAACCCTACAATAACAGCAGCGACCCTACACCACCACACAGCGCCTATAGAGCCTGAGACCCTGCAATAACAGTAGCGACCCTACAACACACAGTGCCTATAGAGCCTGAGACCCTGCAATAACAGCAGCGACCCTACAACACACAGCGCCTATAGAGCCTGAGACCCTGCAATAACAGCAGCGACCCTACAACAACACACAGCGCCTATAGAGCCTGAGACCCTGCAATAACAGCAGCGACCCTACAACAACACACAGCGCCTATAGAGCCTGAGACCCTGCAATAACAGCAGCGACCCTACAACAACACACAGTGCCTATAGAGCCTGAGCCCCTACAATAACAGCAGCGACCCCACAACAACACACAGTGCCTATAGAGCCTGAGACCCTACAATAACAGTAGCGACCCTACACCACCACACAGCGCCTATAGAGCCTGAGACCCTACAATAACAGTAGCGACCCTACAACAACACACAGCGCCTATAGAGCCTGAGACCCTACAATAACAGTAGCGACCCTACAACAACACACAGCGCCTATAGAGCCTGAGACCCTACAATAACAGTAGCGACCCTACAACAACACACAGCGCCTATAGAGCCTGAAACCCTACAATAACAGTAGCGACCCTACAATAACACACAGTGCCTATAGAGCCTGAGACCCTACAATAGCAGCAACGACCCTACAATAACACACAGCGCCTATAGAGCCTGAGACCCTACAATAACAGCAGCGACCCTACAATAACACACAGCGCCTATAGAGCCTGAGACCCTACAATAACAGCAGCGACCCTACAACACACAGTGCCTATAGAGCCTGAGACCCTACAATAACAGCAGCGACCCTACAACACACAGCGCCTATAGAGCCTGAGACCCTACAATAACACACAGCGCCTATAGAGCCTGAGCCCCTACAATAACAGCAGCGACCCTACAATAACACACAGTGCCTATAGAGCCTGAGACCCTACAATAACAGCAGCGACCCTACAACAACACACAGCGCCTATAGAGCCTGAGACCCTACAATAACAGCAGCGACCCTACAATAACACACAGCGCCTATAGAGCCTGAGACCCTACAATAACAGCAGCGACCCTACAACACCACACAGTGCCTATAGAGCCTGAAACCCTACAATAACAGTAGCGACCCTACAACACACAGTGCCTATAGAGCCTGAAACCCTACAATAACAGCAGCGACCCTACAACAACACACAGTGCCTATAGAGCCTGAGACCCTACAATAACAGCAGCGACCCTACACCACCGCAGAGCCCCCATAGTGCCCCGGACCCCACACCGCCACTGGCGACCCTACAATAACCCGTGCTCCGCAGCCTCACACTGACACCGCTGCCCTACAGCAACGCAACATCGTGGGGGGGTTTTGGGGATGCCTCCCCCTCCTCCTCCCGGGATCCCCCCCCATCTGTCGTCACCGATGACGTCACGGGAGGCCGCATTAAAGGCTGTGAGCGGCGGCGCTGGCTCCGTTGTTGTCCTTGGGTGACCCCGTCTGTGCCCCCCCCCCCCCCCATAGGGCAGCGGGAGGGGCGGGGCGACGGGAGGAGTGAGGGGCGGGGCTACGGGGAAGGGGGCGGGGCCATCGGGGCGGGTCCCGCCGGGGTCCCGGTAACGGCGCCGTCATGGCGGGGGTGTTCGATATCGACCTGGAGACCGAGGAGGGCAGCGACGGCGACGAGACCGAGATGGGCGCCGTGAGCGGACACCGGGGAGGGGGGCACCGGCACCGGCACCGGCACCGGAGGGGATCGGGGGCGATCGCGATAGGGACCCGGTGGGGAGGGGGGCGCCGATAGGGGCTGGAGCGGGGTGAGCGGTGCCGGGACCCGGGGGGGGGGGACACCGGGAGGGGAACGGGACACGGGGGTCCCGGTCCGGAGCCCCCCCGGTGCGGCCGCGCACGGGGAGGTTCCTACCGGGAAGGGCCCAGCTCAGCCCAAAAGCATCCGGATGGGCCGGTGTGGGGCACCTCGCCCTGTTCTGCCATGGGTGCTGCCTGCGTGTCATGGGGGCCCTGCCTGCTGTGGGTGCTGCCTGCTGTGGGTGCTGCCTGCTGTGGGTGCCCTGCTTGCCATGGGTGCCCTGTCTGCCGTTGGTGCTCCATGTCCCTTGGTGCCCCCGTCTGCCGTAGGTCCCCTGCCTGCCCTACGTGCTGTGGGGCCCCTGCTCGTCATGGGGCTCCTGCTCGCCATGGGGCCCCTGTCTGCCCTACGTGCTATGGGACCTCCCTGTCTGCTACCCTGCTGCAGGCACCCTGCCTGTCGTGGGGCCCCTGTCTGCTTACTGCCACCCTGCCTTCTATGGGTGCTGTCTGCCTGCTTTGGGTCCCATGCCTGCCATGGGTGCTGCCTGCAAGGGGTCCCCTGCCTGCTATCCTGCTGCAGACACCCTGCCTACCATGGGTGCTGCCTGCCCTACATGCCTACCACACTGTCATGGGCACCCTGCCTGCCGTGGGTGCTGCCTGCCTGCTGTGGGCACCCTGCCTTGGGTCCCCTGCCTACCAAGGGTGCTGCCTCCCACGGGTGATGTTTGCTGTGGGTGCTGCCTGCAATGGGTCCCCTGCCTGCTGTGGGTGCTGCCTGCAATGGGTCCCCTGCCTGCTGTGGGTGCTGCCTGCAATGGGGCCCCTGCCTGCTGTGGGTGCTGCCTGCTATGGGTCCTCTCCCCACCACTGACCATGGGTTCCCTCCCGCAGGAGATGGAGCTGGAGCCCCGGGGAAACGGCCTGGAGTAAGTGAGGGTTCAGGCCAGGGGTGAGCAGTGGGGCAGGCCATGGGGCAGGCAGGGGTACAGGCAGCGGTACAGGCAGGGTCTCCATCCCTTCTCCCTCCAGACCAGTGGGTCACTACGAGGAGATCGAGATCTCGGAGAGCAGCGTCAACAACGGCCCCGAGCACATCGGGCCCCACTGCTTCGAGCTGCTCCGCGTGCTGGGCAAGGGCGGCTACGGCAAGGTGTGGGTCACAGGGGGCTGGAGGACACCCCCCCCCCCCAAATTCTGTGGTCCCAATGGCCCTCCCCACTCAACCCTTCCCCATCATTCCAGGTATTCCAGGTCCGCAAAGTGCAGGGCACCAACACGGGGAAGATCTTCGCCATGAAGGTCCTGAAGAAGGTAGAGCTGCCCCGGCCCCCCCGGCCCCCCCGGGGAGCCCCCCGCTCACCGCGTCCCCCCCAGGCCAAGATCGCCTGCAACGCCAAGGACACGGCGCACACGAGGGCCGAGAGGAACATCCTGGAGGCCGTCAAGCATCCCTTCATCGTGGACCTCATCTACGCCTTCCAGACGGGCGGCAAGCTCTACCTCATCCTGGAGTGCCTCAGTGGTAAACTTGGGGGGCAGTTTTGGGGGGGGGGGGTCCTATTACGGGCTATGGCACGGGGGGGGCCCCACTCATGGTGTGTTTATGAAGGTGGAGAGCTCTTCATGCAGCTGGAGCGTGAGGGGATCTTCCTGGAGGACACCGCTTGGTAGGGATGGGGATGGGGGGTACGGGATGGAGGGGAAAAGGGGGGGGGGGGTAGGACCGGTAGCATCAATCACAGACACCCCCCCCCGGACCCCCTCTTCCATTGGCACCAGTTTCTACCTGAGTGAGATCACGCTGGCACTGGGCCACCTGCACTCCCATGGCATCATCTACCGCGACCTCAAGCCGGAGAACATCATGCTCAACAGCCAAGGTGGGCTTGGGGGCTGTAAGGGGGGGTCTCCAAGGGATTTAAGGGGCTTGGTTTGGAGGGGGTGTCCCCATGATGGGCTCCAACCCATCCCACCCTGTGATGCTGTGGTCCCCCCCCAACAACTCCGTCTGCCGCAGGCCACATCAAGCTGACGGACTTCGGGCTGTGCAAGGAGTCCATCCACGACGGGGCCGTCACCCACACCTTCTGCGGCACCATTGAGTACATGTAATGGGGAGGGATGGGGGGAGAAGGTCCCGTCCCACACCCCATATCCTACCTCAGGAACCCCCCCCCCCCCCCTTTTATCCCCTCCCTAAGGGCCCCCGAGATCCTGGTGCGCAGCGGGCACAACCGGGCCGTGGACTGGTGGAGCCTGGGCGCCTTGATGTACGACATGCTCACAGGATCGGCAAGTCCCAGCCCTGCTCTTTCCTTTCCATGGGGTTTTGGGGTCTTGGGGGGGGGTTAGGTTAAAGGGGGGGTCCCCATTGGGGTGATAACGGAGCCTTCCTCGCCGCCCGGGGCCTCTCGCAGCCGCCCTTCACCGCTGAGAACCGCAAGAAGACCATAGATAAGATCCTCAAGGGCAAGCTGGTGCTGCCGCCGTACCTGACTCCCGATGCGCGGGACCTCCTCAAGAAGGTACCCCCCAAACCGCCCCCCACTTGGTTATGTAGGTCCCACCAAAACACCCCCCATATCCCATTCCATCCCTTATGTAGGTCCCACCAAAACACCCCCCATATCCCATTCCATCCCTTATGTAGGTCCCACCAAAACACCCCCCATATCCCATTCCATCCCTTATGTAGGTCCCACCAAAACACCCCCCCATATCCCATTCCATCCCTTATGTAGGTTCTACCGAAACACCCCCCCATATCCCATTCCATCCCTTATGTAGGTCCTACCAAAACACCCCCCATATCCCATTCCATCCCTTATGTAGGTCCCACCAAAACACCCCCCATATCCCATTCCATCCCCTTTTCTCTTCCAGTTCCTCAAGAGAAACCCCAACCAGCGGGTTGGGGGGGGCCCTGGCGATGCGGCCGATGTGCAGGTACAGACAGGGGCATGGGTTCAAGGGGGACACCCCCCCCCCGTTTTCCTCCTACCTGACCCCCCCATGGATACCCACAGAAGCAGCCCTTCTTCCGCCACATCAATTGGGATGACCTGCTGGCCCGCAGGCTGGACCCCCCCTTCAAACCGTGCCTGGTACGGATGGCCATGGGATGGGGTGTTTGGGGGGCAGGACACACACTGGGGGGCTCCATGGGAGCACCCATGGGTCCCCCCCATAGCAATCAGAGGAGGACGTGAGCCAGTTCGACACCCGCTTCACGCGCCAGACGCCCGTCGACAGCCCTGATGATGCTGCCATCAGTGAAAGTGCCAACCAGGCCTTCCTGGTATGGGGGTGGGATGGGGGTCACTTGTGGGGCTTGGGGGGGGGGGGTCCCCAAGCCCTGACACCCGACTGCCTGCAGGGCTTCACCTACGTGGCCCCCTCGGTGCTGGAGAGCATCAAGGAGGGGTTCTCCTTCCAGCCCAAGGTGCGCTCCCCACGGCGCCTCAACAGCAGCCCCCGAACCCCCGTCAGGTACCATTGGGGGGGGGGGGGGCTTGTTTCCCCTATGGGTGGGTTGAGGTGCCCCCCATTCACCCCCTTATTCGTGTGTCCCCCCCCCCAAGCCCTGTGAAGTTCTCCCCCTTCGACGCCTTCAAGCCGGGGGCATCGGGGGAGCCGATGGAGCTGGGGCCCAGCCTGCCCCCCCCCCCCGAGGGCACGGCCCCACTGCCCATCAAGCCCTCGGGGGGCACCAAGAAGCAGAAGGGGGGGCGCGGCCGAGTGCCCAGGTAGGGGTGGGAGGGGGGGGGGGGGGGTGGTGGGGGGCCCGGTGCCCCACATGAGGTGGGGGGGGGGGGGCACTGATGCTGCTTGTGCTGCCCCCCCCCGCCAGGCAGGGCCGGGTTTGGGGGTGCGGGGTGGGGGGGGGGGGGACCCCCCCGCTGGTGTCGGGGCCCCCCCCCCCCCCCCGGGGTGTCCCAGTGTCCCTATGGGGCAGGCTGGGGGATGTGGGGCGATTAAAGGATGTGATGAGGCCGTGGGGGTCCTGTGCTTGGGGGCGGGGGGGGGATAGAAGTGGGGGGGGCAAGGGAGCCGATACCCCCCCCAGGGCAGAGGGCAGGCTCCGCCCCCTGCGCTAAACCCCGCCCATTTATGAAGCCACGCCTCCTTTCCCTAGGAGCCGCCCTGCCCATTGAACGGGTGTTCATCCATAGGCCACGCCCCCTAAGCCTTAGCTCCACCCACTTCCCACCGAGCCCCGCCCATTCAAGGTGGCAGAGCCGCCCTTCCATTCATGGCGCCCGGGGCAGCGCAGCCAATCAGGAGGCTGCGCTGGGGGGCGGGAAGGAGGAGGGGTCACACGAGGGCATGGGGGGGGGGGGGGGCAAAGGGTGTCACAGGGCATGGGGGTCTCATAGGGGTTTGGGGTGTCACAGGGGATGGGGGGTGTCACAGGGTATTGGGGGTGACACGGGGTATTGGGGTGTCACAGGGGATGGGGGTGTCACAGGGGATGGGGGTGTCACAGGGGATAGGGGGTGACACGGGGTGTTGGGGTGTCAATGTTTTGGGGTGTCACAGGGTGCTGGGGTGTCACAGGGTATTGGGGTGTCACAGGGTGTTGGGGTGTCACAGGGTGCTGGGGTGTCACAGGGGATGGGGGGTGACACAGAGTATTGGGGTATCAGTGTATTGGGTGTCACAGGGTGTTGGGGTGTCAGTGTTTTGGGGTGTCACAGGTGTTGGGGTGTCACAGAGCATGGGGGTGACACAGGGTATTGGGGTGTCAGTGTATTGGGGTGTCACAGGGTGTTGGGGTGTCACAGGGGATAGGTGACACGGTATTGGGGTGACACAGGATCTTGGGGTATCAGTGTATTGGGGTGTCACAGGGGATAGGTGACACGGTATTGGGGTGTCAGTGTATTGGGGTGACACAGGGTATTGGGGTGTCACAGGTGATAGGTGACACGGTATTGGGGTGACACAGGGTATTGGGGTGACACAGGGTGTTGGGGTGTCACAGGGGATAGGTGACACAGGGTATTGGGGTGTCAGTGTATTGGGGTGACACAGGTGGTGGGGTGACACAGGGTGTTGGGGTGTCACAGGGGATAGGTGACACAGGGTGTTGGGGTGTCAGTGTATTGGGGTGACACAGGGTGTTGGGGTGTCACAGGGGATAGGTGACACGGTATTTGGGTGACACAGGGTGTTGGGGTGTCAGTGTTTTGGGTGACACAGGGTGTTGGGGTGACACAGGGTATTGGGGTGACACAGGGTGTTGGGGTGTCAGTGTTTTGGGGTGTCACAGGTGTTGGGGTCTCACAGAGCAGTGACGTGGGGCTGCGCGTCCCCCCACGCCGCCGTCCCCGAGAACGCATGGAGCTCCCTGAGCAGAGCCTCGGCGCTGCCCCCCTCCGCCTGCCCCACACTTGGGGGGCTCTCCCCGGCTCCCGCGTCTGCTTCGGCCTCTTCCTCCTCCTCGTCCCCATCCTCGCCCCCGGGCTCCTCCACCGGATCCCCCGCCGGCCGCAGCCGCCGCCAGCGCCTCCGCAGCCCCTCCAGCGCCCTCCGGCCCATGGGGCTGGGGCGGTAGCGCCCGGCCGAGAGGCGGCAGAGGTGGTGCCAGGCCAGCGCCAGCCCCACGGCGAGGCAGAGCAGGAGCCCCAGCAGCGCGCCCACGGCGCGGTCACTGCGCGGCCCCACCGGGTCCCCCGCGGCCACGGCCACGGCGAGCGCCAGCAGCACCGCGGGGCCCTGCGGGCAGAGAGCGGGGCCGGGATGGGGTCAGCGCCCGCCCCCCGGAGCCGAGGGATGGGGCATGGAGGTGACCCCCAAAACCCCGGGCCCCGTGACGGGAAGCTGCGGTCTGGAGGGAGCTATGGGGAGCTATGGGGAGAGGAGCGGGTGCTGCCTCCGCTGCGCGCGGACCCATGGGTCCCTTCGTGCCGGGATGCGGACCCACAGCATCCGCATCAGCACGGGGATGGGGATGGGGATGGGGCTGGGGATGGGACCCACCCCGCTCCGCACCCATAGCGTTTAGCGCAGGACATCAGCCCCCAATCCAACCGTGCTACCCTGAGCCCCAACATCTCCCTCCCAGCCCCACTGTGCTGCTTGCACCCCTAAACCTGCCCCCCAACCCAACAGGACATCACCCCCCCAGCCCCACTGTGCTGCTTTCACCCCTAAACCTGCCCCCCAACCCAACCGTGCTACCCTGAACCCCAAAACCACCCCCCCAGCCCCACTGTGCTGCTTTCACCCCAAAAAACAGCCGTGCCACCCTGAACCCCAACATCACCCCCCCAGCCCCATTGTGCTGCTTTCACCCCTAAACCTGCCCCCCAACCCAACCGTGCTACCCTGAACCCCCAAATGCCCCCCCCAGCCCCACTGTGCTGCTTTCACCCCTAAACCTGCCCCCCAACCCAACCGTGCTACCCTGAACCCCAACATCACCCCCCCAGCCCCACTGTGCTGCTTGCACCCCTAAACCTGCCCCCCAACCCAACCGTGCTACCCTGAACCCCCAAATGCCCCCCCCAGCCCCACTGTGCTGCTTGCACCCCTAAACCTGCCCCCAACCCAACCGTGGTACCCTGAACCCCAAAACCACCCCCCCCAGCCCCATTGTGCTGCTTGCACCCCAAAAAACAGCCCCCCAATCCAACCGTGCCACCCTGAACCCCAACATCACCCCCCCAGCCCCATTGTGCTGCTTTCACCCCTAAACCTGCCCCCCAACCCAACGGTGCTACCCTGAACCCCAAAACCACCCCCACAGCCCCACTGTGCTGCTTGCACCCCTAACCCTGCCCCCCAACCCAACCGTGCTACCCTGAACCCCAAAATGCCCCCCCCAGCCCCACTGTGCTGCTTGCACCCCTAAACCTGCCCCCCAACCCAACCGTGCTACCCTGAGCCCCAACATCACCCCCCCAGCCCCACTGTGCTGCTTGCACCCCTAAGCCTGCCCCCCAACCCAACCGTGCCACCCTGAACCCCAAAACCATCCCCCCAGCCCCACTGTGCTGCTTTCACCCCAAAACCTGCCCCCAACCGTGTTACCCTGAACCCCAAAACCCCCCCCAGCCCCACTGTGCTGCTTGCACCCCTAACCCTGCCCCCCAACACAACCGTGCTACCCTGAGCCCCAAAACCCCCCCCAGCCCCACTGTGCTGCTTTCACCCCTAAATCTGTCCCCCAACTGTGCTACCCTGAACCCCAACATCACCCTCCCAGCCCCACTGTGCTGCTTGCACCCCTAAACCTGCCCCCAACCCAACCGTGCTACCCTGAACCCCCAAAACACCCCACCCAGCCCCACTTTGCTGCTTGCACCCCTAAACCTGCCCCCCAACACAACCGTGCTACCCTGAACCCCAAAACCACCCCCCCAGCCCCACTGTGCTGCCCTGAAGGCCCCAATTGCTCCCCAGTTCCACCACGTTAGCCCCATTCTACCCTCACCCCCCAACCTCACCATGTTACCCTGAACCCCAAAACTTCCCTCTGCCCCCTTTACCCCACTGCACCACCCCAGCACAGGCCCCACTGTGCCCCCCCCTTGGCCCCACTGTGGAACGATCTGCCCCCCCCCCCAGGACCCACAACTGCTGCCCCCCATCTCAACCCATGGGACAACACCAAGTAGGGGGTTTGGGGGGGGGCAAATTGGAATGAAACAGAGCCCCCCCCCCCATTTAGCAGGGAAACTGAGGCAGTGGAAGGGTTTGCCCCCCCCCAAGTTCGCTCCCATTGTGGGGCTGCCCCCCCCCCTTCCCCCCCCATGGGTCCCATTCACCCCATAGGTCCCCGTTCACCCCATGGGTCCCGTTCACCCCATGGGTCCCGTTCACCCCATAGGTCCCGTTCACCCCATGAGCCCCGTTCACCCCATAGGTCCCGTTCACCCCATGGGTCCCGTTCACCCCATAGGTCCCCGTTCACCCCATAGGTCCCGTTCACCCCATGAGCCCCGTTCACCCCA